GGCCCTGCCTCCAAGCTGCAGAGTGAGACCCTGTACCAACTACAAAAACAGTGCCAGAAATTCTGGTACTCCTCCACGACAAAACATTATCTGTGTCCTCAGCTGGAAAACACAGCTCTATTCGTCCCGCCTGACACAGAACTAAGTGTCAAGCTCCATTTTTCCTCACGATTGCCTTGTTTTCTTAAAGAGCAGAGAAGAAAGTGATCTACTTCTTTTACCCATCCTCTTCCTCCAAATAGAAGACAAAGATGGCTATCAGCCTTACACAAGAATTTTCCTGCATCAGTTTGCATTCGTTCACCTCCCTGGCCCTGTCCTATGTAAGGCCACATGATGCCCTTTATGGGCCCTGAGCAATTTTACCCTCTTGGAACTTATTATCCATAAAAACACTCCAAATCATATTAAATGAGCAGGTTAGTATCACGGCAAATTTATTAGTATTACATATGAAAACAATGCGAGCTCTTTTTTGGTTCCTTTTGATTTTAAAGAAATCTAAACAATTTTTACAAAAAACCCCAAGAGCCCGGGCCTTTCTTAGGCACTGCAGCCACCGTGTGTACCCAAAGGGTAAGTTAGCCTTGTTCCCACAGATATGGAAGGTTCTCTGAAAAATGTTTTAACCCTCAATTCACCTGTATGAGTTCAGGATACAGAGCCCATTACCACAGGTGAATTCATCTACAGAGCAGGATCTCCAGGTACAGTTCTGATGCTCATCAAGAGCATCGAAACAGTCTGCGTCACCATCACAGACCCAGGCGCGGGGAATGCACCGCCGCATCGGAGGGACGTTGTTTACACAGTGAAACTCGGAACTTGAGCAGGTTTGCTGGTCTAAAACCAAAGCACACGAGAATCAGAAATCATGTGAGAATTTATTGTAAACAGTCAGTTCTCCTGCTCAATGTTACTTAACACTAACTATGAGAGCTTAAAAATTTTTTTTTCTTAAAGCAGACAGACAACTCACACTCCTACCATAATAGATCACAGTACTTCTTTTAATTTCCATTTTAACTGCTTTGCACATAAACAATCAAGTGTTTTCCAATGTGGCTGTCTGGTTTTCATGGCCTTGCTGTGCACTTTCCCTCTTTTGACAGTAAGCTTCTGCCTATGGCTTACAGTTTGACATTTAATTTATTAGCACTGCTCTGCACCCCTCCCTTGAGAGGGAAGACTTCATATGGTTTATTGCCAGTTGTTTGTTTACTTTTCAGGTTTGTACTACAAGGTTTAATAATAAAAACAATGTTTTTTGGAAAAAAAATAATTGCTTTGCACCCTGGATTTTTAAGAAATAAGATCTCAAAATAGTAATATACCTCATGTAGTTCTATAAAATTAATGTAAGATCATATTTTTGAGCTTAGAGGTCAGAATACACTCTAATTTTGTTACCCAATTTGGTGTCCAAAGGCCTTACATATTGGCAGCATTTTCTTGGTTCCCAATGTATGATCACACAGACTGAAGTGAGGTACACAGTTTTATGTTCATTCTACTGAACAACTAGAACTCAACACGGTTAACTAAATGGCTTAAAGTCTAAGAACAAGGAGAGAGGGCCAGGGTTGCTAACTCAGGTCTTTTTCACTCCAAGTGTGTCTGCAAAATAAAAGAATTTATCTGGTATTGCAGATGAATAGGATATAAAAGAAGGACAAGACAACATATTTGCTACACTCCATGTATGTGCAGTTGCCAGCCTCCTGGTTCAGTAAATAGATCACACAGAGCTGCAGACCACCCTCAGAGCTGCGTGTTGTGAGGTCACCATCAAACGCAAGCACCAGGATGTTTCTTTTTATCATCCCACCATGGCCTCTGCTAAGACCTGTCAGGTAGGGACTTTATGCTCTGTTAGGGGTGGAAAATGATGCTCCATAAGCCATTCATTAAGAGCAACTGCAACCCCCAACTCCCAGCTCTAAAGTTAGAGATGGAACAGGAAGCACAATCGGTTATTACACAGGGAAGGTTGCTATCAAGAGTGGCCAGTGGGGTTCTCCTTACCTGCTTGAGAAGCACAACCAAAGGCAAGAAAGAGAAGATAAACATAAAGTCATTTTTCATCATTGTAAACATGGTTAAGCAGAAGACATCAAAGAAAGAAAGCATCCCATAGGGGAGTATTCAGTTTAACAGGAATCTACCAAACTCCCCCACAAAGATGCCTCTGCAAAGGTACTAAGGGGGTCACTCACTACACTGGTGCCTTCCATCCTCATCACTCATGTCCCCGCAGTCGTTGTCACCATCACAGATCCAGGCAATGGGGATGCACCTGCCACCATCACACTTGAACTCACTACCCAGGCACGTCCGATCGGGGAGCTCTGGAAAAGGGAAGAAGCAGTCTAGGTCAAAAAAAAAAAAAAAGCAGTTTGTGGTCAAGAAATTGTGAGAGAAGCTGCTATGGCACAGGTTGTCTAAAAAGACTGCAACCACTCAATGCCTAGTCCTAAAGTATTAACGCAGGAGAGGCACACCAGTGACCCGAGGTTGGAGGGAAAAGGAGCCAGTGGACAGAGCAAAGTCCCAGGTACCTTTGGTGTCTACTGCGACACTCAGTATTCCCTTACAGCTATGGGAGAGACTTAGTTTTTCTTTTTTTTTTTTTTTTTTTTGGTGGTACCAGGGATCAAACTCAGGACCTTGTGCTTGCCAGGCAAGCACTTATTCCACTGAGCTATTTCCCTGGCCCCAGTTTTTCTCGAAGGATATAAATTTACCCACCACTGCATGCTTCTATTTTAGAATCTTCTTTTCATCCAAGAACACTCTGTTTTGTGTACCCCAATCATCTGCACTCCCCTCTCCCCATTTCCCTGCTCTCTTTCCTTTAGCACGTACAATCTTTCAAAATACTTCTTCATTTTATTTGTCTTTTGATTTTTCACTAAGATACAAGTTCCACAAAATCAGGGATGTGGCCTCACAGTGCCTACAGCATTGGTGCTCAATAAATATTCACTGAGTAGAAATGCCAAGTCACCCCTCTACTTCAAATTGGCCATCACTGATTTGATTCAAGTCCTTTAGCCCTAACCTACTATGTTCCTATTCAGCTAATCAAGTTGTCCTGGGCCCATAAACTCAGGACCTCCAATTACCTTTCATTACAGCAAATGAAAATTTAATTTTAACAATAATAAGACACACTTTAGTGATAACAGTAAGAGCCCCAAGACCTTTTAGAAGCTAGTGTGAAAGGCCAGCCCCTATATTCTAATAGACTCTTTGAAAAGATTAATAATATCAACTAAAAGGAAAAGAGCAAAGAGGGAACTAGAAGAGGAGGAAAGGAGGGAGCAAGAGGGAAAGAGAATAGAAACAAGCTATATCATATAAATTCTACCAACTCTAAAATGCATATATTGCTAACACGTATGAATAAAATAAAAGGAAGAAAAATGACAGGTGACTGGCCGACATTCCTACTTTGCTAACCCTACATGGAAATACAATTTATTGATACATTACAAAAGAAATCCAGGGGGCTTGTGGGTTAGCACAGTTGTTTAAGCGCCTGCTTGGGCAAACTCAGTCAGGTGCAGGGGACTGTAGTTTGATCCCCCAGCTCCACATGCTCTACCAGACCCTCCACCCTGAAGGCAGGATGAGCCAGCCAAAAAAAGAAAACTTCTAAAAAAGAAATCCAGACATTGTATCTTCAGATGTCTACAATTGTTTTAAAATTTGTGTGGATATTGATTAGAATTTGCAAAGGTAAATAGCAGTCTCCAAATACAAACAGCACAACTGCACTCCTGAATACAAGAAGGTCCCTGCAAGTTCTTGGGAAGCTCGAATGGCCAGGCTGCCTCATTCAGTAAACTGGCACAGTTACAAGACAGAAGGAGTACATACGCCTACCGTGTGTCTCTGCCACACATCTGATTCCAATTATTTTCTTTCTCATCCTTTCATTGTTTTACGAGTCGGAACACAACTACATTCAGAAATCCCAATAAAGGGTCAACTAAAATTAACAGTTCTACGAGGCAGGCAGTGCATTAAGTGCATCACTCAACATAATCTCTTTCACTCAGCAGCTTCATATTCTGATCAGGTCCTTGCATAGGACCCTGCACAAGCAGGTCTTTGAGGAAAATCTGTTGCACGGTTTTGACACCTTGCTGGGACAGGAGGCACAACCCTATCCTGCACCTGAAGTAGGGGAAAGAGACTGCTGTTTTAAGTGGCATCGTATTTCTTTCATATTTGCACACTCACTGCAAGAGGAGGGTTCATCAGAGCCATCAGTACAGTCCACTTCTTCATCACAGTACCAGTTCCGAGGAATGCAGCGTGGAGGATTCACACATTGGAACTCACTGGCACTACATGTGTGAGCGGCTACAGCAGGAAAAGAACACCACACTCGTTAGCGTAATTCAAGCTACTTCCCACCTGTCTTCTCTGAGCTGGACCGCAGTTGCCAAGAGAGGAAGGCTGGGGCTTGCACGATGGGCTTTGTATAAGCTTCCCCTGGGCCGGAGGTGTATGGGAGGCAGAAGAGAGGCAAGACTACCCCAGTTGCCCAGACACTTTCTTCCAGATTACAAAAGTCCAAGATAGAAATGCTATTTGTTAGAAATATAAAAGAACTATCCTATGATAAAGGAGATAGAAGTTCATATAAAATATGCTGTGTTTTTTTCCCTGCCCATGTCTATGACCATGTCTGACCTCACCCCACACCACATTTTAACTGTGTTAGGCCATGATTCAGGAATCAGCAAAGTTCTCCCATTCCCCCTACTGATCCAGTGTTAGCAGATGGGAGATTGTACCTAAGCTTGAACACTGCTTCTTTTATCAAGTAATTTTAGGTATTTCAGGCTTCAGATATATTTTCTAAATTATTGCATGGAAACAAATCTGAGTCAGACCTTATAATTCTTAGGGTTTGCAGACTCCCTTGCTTTGGCCCATGCTATCTGATGACTTGCTAGGAAAGAATTATTAAGGAAGCAAGGTCCCTAAAGAGTCACAAGTAACTCCAATCTGCCCAGTCCCATCTGGAGGATGCTTCCTTATGCTGGTAGGACAATGGATTTGTGTTCTTAGACCTTAGCCTGGCCACCTGACAAATGATTGTGATGCCCTATAGTTTCCTTGAGAGGGAACCACACCTAGACTTTAAACCCATAATAGAGAAGGCCAGTTACTAAACTTTTTTTTTTTTTTTTTGTATTTTTAGTACAGGGTCCATAGGATCTTACTATACAGATCAGATTCATAGCGATCCTCCTGTTTTTAGCCTCCCAAGCACTGGGATTATAGGTGCATGCCATCATACCCAGTCGCAACTGCCATCTCAGTGTGTCCCGGAGGTGGGGCTGGCACAGCATGCCGGGGATTGGACCCTAGTCCCTGTGCCTGCCTAAGCAGGTGCTTTAGTCCACTGAGCTATCTGGCCAGCCCACTAAATTCTTAAAGTATGCATCTATTTATACTAATAGTCTCAAAGTCATGAGCCTTTTTAACTTCAATTATAAAGACAGAAATTGTTTGAATGAACCAAGATGCTGAAATTAAATGAAGGGTTTCTGAAATCCAAACATACTAAAGGACACTGAAATATCAAGTTACTGGTAACTGCTGTTAATCATACTAATAATAAATGTTAAGAACTCAATGTGGAAACTCTGCCTTGAGCCCCTGAGGGCTCTAGAAGAGAGGGTTCTTCAACCTCACAGGTCTCTGGAAGAAATATTTAGGGTCTATGGCAGCCAACCAAGGAACAGAGAGAAAGGGCGTCTCCCATGCACTGAACACATCCTAGGGCACCTGTCTGCCACAGCCCCCTACAAAACCCATCTGGAGATGACAACTGGAAATCAGCACAAACACCCAGGCTTGCTCTGTGTTAGCTCCCAGACAGGCCTCTCTGGAGTCACAGAAGGAGAAGCAGTTCTATCTTACTCACAGCAGTAAGTGGGGTTTTCATCGCTCATATCACCACAGTCGTTGTCTCCATCACACAAGTAAAATCGAGAGATACAAATGTTTGTGGTCAAACATTTCGTGAATCCAGACTGGCAAGTGCGTTCAGCTTGAAAAAGACAACCAGAAAAACATTGGCAACAGATCCACCAAATATGTATATCATCAACCATGTCTGTGCTGACAGATTGATTGTACAACTCAAATCAAAGGAAGGGTAGAGCTTTCCTGGATATCAGAGAGGCACAGTTCATCACATTTATGTGACCTATAGGTTCTCTAGTAGAGATGTTTCTAGCTGACACTGAATAAGAGATGAGCAGAGGTTGCTTTGTAATTTAAACTGTCTGTTTTCTTTATTTAATGGTATCCACAAAATGTCCAATTTTCAGTTAAATAAACTACAGCACTGCCACAAAATAGAGCAGTATGTACTTATAAAAGTGACCTTGTATTTAGTATGTTTATTGTTAGTAGTATTATTTGTGTAGGTACAATAGTTTTGAAATTATTAACACTTTAAAGTAACTGCAGAATAAAATGACTTATTCCTGTTATTAAAAAACAAGACTTTAAGCATGAGTTAATAATCACATACAATTATATATAACTATAAAACATGAAATAATGTATATTGTTAAATTTGAGTGATAAAGGCCAATATGGATGCATTTTTTTTTCCATTAAAAACTATTTCCTAGCTCTGTTCACTGAAGATCCCAAGAGACAATGAAAATCAAACAAGAATGTCCTATCAACATGGAGCAAATTTTTAATATATCGAAAAAAGAGAAGAGGTTGCCTTGGGTAAGTGCTAGATCTAGCACTGCAACAGAAAGACACAAGACAGCTCTAAGCCTGCATGATGCTGGGTCAAGGGATGAAGGATCCAACTTAACAGAGATCCCCTGGCCTTAGACAGGACAGCTAGACACTAAAAAGAATAAATGGAGGCACTGTATTATAACTCAAAACATATGAACATCCATGAGCTCAGTGAAAATAAAATAAAAAGGTATCCAGATATGCTGGCACACATCTGTAATCCCAGCACTTGGGAGGCAGGGGCAGTTCAGGCCAATGTGCAGGGCAAGCCTGGCCTACATAGGATAGGGAGTTCAAGGCCAGCCTAAGTAAATAGCCAGATTCTGTCTGGGGGTGGGGAGAACAAGGCTAGTGCTCATCGGTCACTAACTTATTATTCTGAAAAGTGACAGACAAGAGGAATTAAGCACTTATCTTGCAGGTTGTAGTAACCATCAAATGTCTGTCAGCAGATAGGGTAAACCGAACTGCATATATTGCAGGTTAATAATTAGCTTCTCTTCTGGAGGGTTAACAACCTAAGTTAGCAGTTCAAAATTGGAGAAAAGGAAGGGCTGCAAGGTCAGCTAACATTTTGGCCCTAGCCTTTCAAGGTCAGTGAAGACTCGGGACATAGGAGAACCTGTACTGTAACAACATGTAACTCAGTTGTGCTCCACATTTTCTGATCAAGAAGATTATGCAGCCATAGAGGAATGTGTTCTATGATATAAAGTGAGCCTGGGGAGAGTTATATGGAGAGAAAAAACATTTTCTCAAGCTTTTACAGAGAACAAATTGGTCAAGCAATGGCCGTGACTCATCCTCATGGCTGACACTGACAAAAGGATGTACAAAGAGCGGTACAGGGCTACAGGATAAATCCTGAGAGTACTTGGCTGACCTTATCAGATACAAAAGTTACATTTCTTGTTATATAGGGCTTGCTATATCTTGGTCTTAACCATCCAGCAGAAAAGTATAAAAAAGAGGTATGTAAAGTAAATCCATATTAATACGATGAGCTGTAAAAGGCTCAAGTCAATAACTTCTGAGGATAACCCACTAATATTATAGACTGCTAGACAGTGTTAGATTGTTTAGCTGAATTCAAACACCTATAATATTTAGCTGCCAACAGAATATTCACCTCTGACAGGACCAAAAAAAAAAAGGATACAAAGGAAAGATCATCTTGCATTTATATATACAAAATAGGATAGGTTTACAGCTACTTTCACTTAATTCAATAAGAAAGAGGTGTACTAACAGTGTTTGGACAGAATATCCTGTCTGCTTCTTGTGCTATGGATAACCACTAAGAATGTAACAATGTACAATGTATTGATTATCAAAACTGTCCTATTAATCAGCTGTGAAACTGTCTTATTCATATTTATTTCTCAATAAAAAATAAATAAAATTTTTAAAAAATAAAAAAATGTCAGGAGAAATTTCTTCTTTATAGAACTTCAACTAACAAATGTGGGGGCAATAATAGAACATCAAAGTTCATTTCATAGCACAACTGATTATGGAACAAACACCTATTGATGTTAAAACCAGTGTGTGAAAAGCTCACAAGCACTTTGTCAACAAAATTAAGCTCACAACTGAGTTGCTGGGAAGGTTTCTGCGCCTGTGATGTGCTTCTTAGCTCGGGCCATCGAGGGTTCTTACTCACAAGTTTGACACTAACACATTCAAACCTCTAAATCCACTTTGCAAAAGAAGCAAACAATTGAAATAGAGCTTTTGCAAATAAGAAGGGGATGAGAGGTTGAAGGGAGGGAAGAATGGAGGAAAAAAGATCACATACATCATGCAAGCACACATTCTCTATGATAAATGCGATCGTTATGTATGTATGCATGTGTACATAAAACATACCAAGAAATTCATCTAACTAAAATAAATAAATAAACCCACTTCACAGGGATAAAATGAATTCAATCCATCAACTATATATATATATAATTGGTCAAACTCAGAATGTGGGAGACTCCCCAGGAAGAACTTACCCAATTTTTCTAACAAATCAATGGCATAAAATAAGGAAACTATTATGGCATAAGAAGAGATTAAAGAGTTTTAACAAAATAAATGTGCAGATCTTGTCCAAATTTGAGCAGAGTAACAACAAAAAGATGCTACAATGTGAATGGAGACTGGGTGTTCAAGAACACTGAACCTTATTGATTTTTCTGGGTACTGTAACAATAGCTGCCTTTTGAAATGTCTTCTTCCATGAAATGCATATCTAGGAATTGCTTTCAAATACTAGGAAAGCTGAGTGTGGTGGCACACATCCCAGCACTCCAGAGGCTGAGGCTGGAGGATTTTTACAAGTTCAAGACTAGCCTGTGCTACAAAGTGAGCTCAAGGCCAGCCTGAATTGCAGAACAGAGACCCCATCTCAAAAAAAAAAAAAAAAAAAAAAACCTAGGAAAAAGGGGAGAGAGGCATTGGCTGATAACCATAGAAGTTGAGTGCTGAGTACATTATACCACAGAATACTTTGTATTTTTCATACATATTTGGAAAAAAGTTAAAGTTAGAGCCAGCTGGAAATGTAGCTTAGTGGTATAGCATATGACTAGCATGTACCAGGCTGCAGGTTTGATACCCAGCACAAAATAAACAAACAAATGAGTGAATAAATAAATAGTGGTACTCTGCCTTCAAAAGCAGCAACACAGGTAGGTATAGCCAAACAACGTTATGCTTGAAATTATACTCTCTCATTCTCCCAATATGTTAAGCACAAATTCCAGAATGTTTAGAAAAAGTATTAACTGAAGCTATTTTCTAGGCAAACCAAAGATAGAAGCCAAACACTATTCTATGTAACTTCTATTAAACAAACACTAACTGATACATCTGTGCAATATTTTTTATCAGTACTATCAGAAAACTTTAAAAAGCAATCAAAAGGCTGGGGAGATAGCTTGGTGCTCTAAGCACCTGCCTAGCAAGTGCAAGGACCCAGGTTCAATCCCCAGTACCACATGTGGTGCAGGCCTGCCCTGGGCGCACCAAGCCAGCCACTGAAACTAGGCGTGGTGGTACACACCTGTAATCCCACAGCAGGGGAGGCTGAAAACAGGAGAATCACTACAAG